GAAAAATGTAATTATATAAATCGGACTGAAAACGTACCTCATTCCTCATCTATCATATAAAGAGCCATAAAAAACTAAATGGGACTTTACTGGTACAGAAAGTGGACAACATCATATTGTATAAAACATGTTTATTGAAACATATCTTCCAAAAATTTACCATAAAAACAGTATTTTAGCTAATCAGCCCAATATATCAAAGCATTGTATGATATGACATCAAAGTACTCCAGAGGTCGACGCTTTTCTTTCTTTAAAGAAAAAATGTAATAAAAGACCCTGTAAAACAGACAACCAATGCTTACTGTACTTGTCCTACTAAATGTGTCTCAGATCTTCACTATCCTGTAGTATTATGCTGGCTGAAATATTGTCAGCCATGTACTGTAGTTCCATCTGATGCTGTACATCATTATTATTATTATACAGTATTTATATAGCGCCAATGGTTCGCTCAGCGCTGTACATTACAAAGGGGGACAGAACATGTGACAGAACAATACCAATACAATGCAAAACATGAGGGGATTGAGGGCCCTGCTCCTTGGAGCTTACAATCTAGGAGGGAGGGGATGGTGGCACAGGAGGAGATAGCTGTGGGGGATGGAGTGGTAGGAAGAGTGGAGGAGGTGGGCAAGTTAGGGGGGGTGGGGTAGGCTTCCCTGAAGAGATGGGTTTTCAGGGTGCGCCGAGAGGAGAGTAGGTGATAATCTGATGGGTTGGGGCAGGGAGTTCCAGAGGATTGGTGACACCCTGGAGAAGTCCTGGAGGTGGGCATGGATATTAGGAGGTCTTGTGAGGAGCGGAGTGTGCGTGCTGGGGCGGTACTTGGATATTAGGTCAGTGATGTAGTACGGGGCAGTATGGTGGACAGCTTTGTACGTCAGTGTTTAGGATTTTGAATTTGATCCGTTGCGCAATCGGAAGCCAGTGGAGGGATTGGCAGAGGGGGGGTGGCGGAGATGGAGCGGTTGGAAAGGTGAATGAGTCTGGCAGCCGTATTCAGGATCGAATGAAGCGGGGATAGCCAGCGGCGAGGCAGGCCAGTGAGGAGGGAGTTGCAGTAGTCGAGTCGTGATATGATGAGGGAGTGGATGAGCTGTTTAGTGGTTTCTGGGGTTAGGAACGCGCGGATTTTGGCGATGTTGCAGAGGTGGAGTCTGCACGAGTTTGTTAAAGATTGGACTTGGGGCTGAAAGGATAGGTTGGAGTCCAGAATGACACCAAGTACTCTGGCCTGCTGGGCGGGTTTGATATTGGCATTGTTGGATGTGATGGAGAAGTCAATGGGGGGGGGGGGTGTCCGGGCTGGGGGGAAGACAAGAAACTCAGTTTTGGAGAGGTTCAGTTTAAGGAAGTGGAACGACATCCAGTCTGATATGTCGCTCAGTAGGTGTGTGATTCGGGCGGAGACCTAGGGGGTGAGTTGGCCAAGGGAGGAGGTGTAGATGGAGAAGAGAAGGAGAGAAGGGGCCCGAGGACAGAGCCTTGAGGGACCCCAACAGAGAGGGGGAGTGAGGGGGAGGTGGTAGCATTATAGGTAATGCTGAAAGACAAAGTATCAGTCTAGCAGCCAATGGATGAAACCACAGTTAGCACTTATGGAAGTGTGTTGGATGCTAAATAATAATGGCCAGCGTGGATTTTCAAGACTGAGAGGATCAAAGGCAAAAGTGGCAGAACAGGTCTTACTAATCCTTTTTGCAGGGTCATTTTTTTTTCTTTAGGTAACAGAGTTACTTTAACCCCATTTTTACAGTGTTTAGACTTTGTGAATGTCATGCCAAGAAAAGGTGATTGCGGTATGCACCCCTAGCATTATTTGTCCCAACGTCTGTCATTGTCACTTTTGCCAAACAGCTTGGTATGCATGAAATGTGAACAAAATTACATATAAAGGCATGTGAAATGAAGAAAAGGCATTCATATGAAACTGTTTTAGTGCTACCCTCTTGAGAGCTGCTGGTTTGGGGACCCCGTTATTTCCTGCGTAGACAGGCAATACGTATTTTCCAACTTGTATCCAGACACAAGAAACAGTCCATGGACTTGTTTTTTTGAATTTATTAGGGAATTCAACTTGCATAAGGTAAAGGTGTTGTGAGATGTGCAACTCGATGGAATAAATAGCAAAATGGGACAATTTCCTTCTCTAGGATAACTGCAAAAATGAGATATTTGAGAACTGCTTTCATCCCTTCTGCTGGGCTGGTTCTTATGCAGGCTGTCCTTCACCGATGAACTGTAGGGCACTGGCACTTTCCTGCTTCCCCCAACTTCCAGCCTGGAGGCAGAACCCTTCTTCTCCGGTGCCCCCTCCCAGGCTACACAGCAGCACCTCAACCATCCGTCTCCCACCCAACTTCCCTTGCTGGCCAGGCTCTGTCATATTTATAGGCTGGTCTGCCACACTGCCAGGCCTCCTGCCTGGGATTGGTCAGACTTCTATAAATATATACAGATCAGCCCCTCCTCACCTCTGCCTACTGACTTCTAGAAGCTTCCCCAAGCTACTAGAGTAGGGGGAGATACCAGAGGGACTGACCTATAAAACCCTCCAACTTAACCTGATATAACTCTAAACCCAGGCTTCTAGCAAGCCTCTAACTACACTCAACAACTATGTACACTAGAGGGCGCTACACTGTTATTACATTACTATTGCATATAGATATCAGAATAATTTCTGTTATATTATGGTACATTTATCATGACATATAGACATCAGAATAAAATATTTTTAGGGCAGTGGTCTTTTAATGTGATCTTTCCAAAATTACATTAAAGCTTTATAAGAAAAAAGGAGAGGATTGGGGGTAATGCTTACTTTTCCCGTGCAACATGCAATTTTCTGACTACAGGTGCATTTTAAAGTGGCATTAAACGCAAAGCCAAAATATAATAAATTGCAGCTTAGCAATTCTTCAGCCCCATTCACATGGGGTGATTAGTTGTGTGACCCATGCAGTGCCTTGTGTTACCAGCACAGGGATGCACAGGTGTTACATGGATCCCCTTACTGACAGTCCCATAGATGTGTACTGGGACATAGGCTGCAGGGACACAGCCATAGTGTCCCAATGTGACATCCATGAGGGTGCAGGGTATATGGCCCTGGTGCACAGATGTCACATTGAGATAGAGAAGCTGTGCGTATGCAGCCACGTTTCCCAATAGACCTCTATGGGACTGCCGACATGGGGATGCACATAACGCCTGTGCATCCCTGTGCCGGTAAAAGACAGGGCCTACAATGTGGTGGCTGCATTCATTTTCTTTTTAGGCTTTTTTTCTTTTATTTTCACCTGGTGATCTAGCCAATATGTTTATGCTGTTACACAGTTAATATTTATGTTAATGTACATGAGAATTCATATAGTTTATTCTTTGTACCATTTCCTATGGATATTTCTATAGTTAGTTATATGCTGCCATCCAGTGGCCTTATTTGGTAATGCACTTGTTTTTCATATTACCTCCCTGAGATCTATGACACAATTCCTTTGCATATGAAGCTCCTCCCTTCTTTTTGAGTACAGCACTTCCTGTGTCATGGATGCAGCTAACAGACCACATGTAACAGGGACACATGTATTCTGCATGGTACGCTACAGAAAGTATTATCTTTTGACCGCATAATACTGGAAACCATTCATTCTGCTGTATCCTGTTGTCACATGTACAGAATAAAGCAACTTCTGGATGAACACAGTATTGGTGTGTTCAAGCTATCTGATAAGGATTGTCCACAGTGATTATATCTGCTTATACAGGCTAGGCCAGGGGTGGGCAAACATTTTGACTTGAGGGCCGCAATGGGTTCATATATTGGACCCGGGGGCCGGACCAAGAGTAGATGAATGATGTGTATGTGTCATCCATAGTAAGTATAGTAATATTCCCCAATAGTAAGCATAGTAATTAATCCCCCATATAGTAATTCATCCCTCATATAGTAATTCATCCCCCCTATAGTAATTCATCCCCCCTATAGTAATTCATCCCCCCTATAGTAATTCATCCCCCATATTAATTCATCCCCCATATTCATCCCTCATATAGTATTTCATCCCCCACAGTACTATTCCCCCCCAAGTAGTAAGCCAAGTCCCCCCTGTGTCAATTCACTTACCTTTGCTCCGCGCGTTCCTCTCGCCGTCTTCCCGCGCCATTCCGGTCTTCAGGGCGGACTGTGAGAGGAAGGGGGCTAGTCATGATTTCCACCAGAATTCCCTCTTCCCTTGTCTGGCCCTGGATGTGAGGGATTACTCACTATTCCTCTCCTGCAAGCTTGTTGGATAGGTGGCTGCCTTCAGGCCTTCTGCTGGGCTGGCTCCTTCCCTGGCCCTACAGGTGGTCCTTTCTCAGGGAGGTTAAGTGATCCTCCTTTCCAGATCCAGCCTGTAGGTACGCCACCCAAACTCTTTCTGCTGAGCAGGCTCAGTCACACTTAAGGGCTGCCTTGGCCCCATTTCAAACCTCCTGTTTGGGGATTGGCCAAAATCCCTTAAGTGTGCAGTTCAGCCCCTCCTCACCCCCACCCACCGAGTTCTAGGGACTTCTCCAAGACTAGCTAGCTCCCCCTGGCTAACTAAAGGGGCACTACATGTATCTGTTCATAACTTTTCTCTGTCATTGGCTGAGCAGTATTTCATGCATTTTTTATTCATTGTTTCATGTGATATTGTGTTTTGTTATATCCCGAGTTTCTTTTTTTATTCATTATTACACCAACTGGTATTGTTATGTATGGATAACATGATATTGTTGGTCTGTATTGTTCTGAGCTATCTCTGTGTTATGCCTTACTGGGCAAATTTCCTTTTTTTTTTGTGTGTCTTCATTGTTAACATACAAAAAAAAAAAAGTTTAATAAAATAGCCCTTTAAAAAAAAAATAATAAGCTGCAATATATTAAACTTTTGTTTTTGAGTTTAATGCTGCTGTAATATGAAAGAGCTGTGAGATGTATAGTAAGAAGACTGTTTATCGCCCCATAGATGGCATCAGCTAGCGACCCGCGCCAACCCCAGAAAGATGCCGCCGACCAGAGCTTCGATTACATGTTCAAGCTCCTGATTATCGGAAATAGCAGTGTGGGAAAGACGTCTTTTCTCTTTCGCTATGCGGATGACTCCTTCACTTCAGCCTTCGTCAGCACGGTGGGGATAGACTTCAAAGTCAAGACCGTATACAGAAACGAGAAGAGAGTGAAACTGCAAATCTGGGTAGGAAAATCTAAGGTTTCCAACAGATGATCTTTATGTTCTGTAAACTTATTGTCTGTTTACCACAATGTATTGTTTATGACACAGTCTAACCTTAACGTTGCCTTTTGGGATCAGAGGGTAGGCCTTCAAGATTTTCCGTTGCTTTGCCAGTTGGTGTCTTTGAATGGTTAACTTATGGAAGATCAACTACAGTAGGCACTTTTTTTTTTTAGTTTTGTACAGGGGCGGACTGACCATTTGGAAACACGGGCACTGCCCGAGGGCCCGTGGTCAGTAGGGGGCCCCATGAGATGCCCCTGGTACCTTTTTCATAGGCTTTTTTGAGTTTGGGCAAGGGCACAGGGGCCTCATGATCCCCTATTGCCCAGGGGCCCCATGAGTTGTCAGTCCGCCCCTGCCTGGTACCTTTTTCATAGGCTTTTTTGAGTTTGGGCAAGGACACAGGGGCCCCATGATCCCCTATTGCCCGGGGGCCCCATGAGTTGTCAGTCCGCACCTGCCTGGTACCTTTTTCATAGGCTTTTTTGAGTTTGGGCAAGGACATGGGCCCCATGATCCCCTATTGCCCGGGGGCCCCATGAGTTGTCAGTCCGTCCCTGCCTGGTACCTTTTTCATAGGCTTTTTTTGAGTTTGGGCAAGGACACAGGCCTCATGATCCCCTATTGCCCGGGGGCCCCATGAGTTGTCAGTCCGACCCCTGGTTTTGTATAGACTTGGGAAAGGTTAGAACCCAAGTCTGTTTTTTTTATTGCTGTGCATGTGCCCATTTGAAAATTTCTCCCCAAGCAGTAAGATGGAGTTCCCCTTGGAGAAGCACAGCATATTGCATGTTTAGCTGCCCTGTCTGCATCACCGTGGGATTTAGCCATAAATCCATTCTGTTAACATGACATTTCCTCCGGCTGCTTTTTGTTTGGAACTTAAACCTCATTCTCCTAAATGTCTAATAGCTGCGATGCTTGGCTGTGTGAGTCAGCGCCTGCAGCATCATCAGTCTGCGTCATCCTCGTCTAATTGATTACTAATCTTAATACTTCGCTCACAATCATCATAGCAATATATAGACGTTTATAGGAAGAATGTGGTCATAAAAGAGTAAAAGTGTTTATATCGATCCCCCTTCTGATTGTCTGTCATTGTAGATTTTGTCTCTTCTTCCCATAAACCTTTCTAGAATACCATGCTGGCCACACACATGGCAACTTTGGGCCAATATCATCTACTTTTAAGCAACTATCAATCACAAAGAAAAAATCAAATTGATCAAGGATACTTAATATCACTTCAGGATGTTTGTACAAATTGTTAGTTATTATTATACAGGATTTATTTATTATTATTATACAGGATTTATATATTATTATTATACAGGATTTATATATTATTATTATTATACAGGATTTATATGGCGCCAACAGTTTGCTCAGCGCTTTACAATATAAAGGGAGACAATACAGCAACAATACAGTTCAATACAAGAGGGATTCGAGGGCCCTGATCCTTGGAGCTTACAATCTAGGAGGGAGGGGCTAGTGGTACAAAAGGTAGTAACTGTAGGGGATGGACTGGTTGGAAGAGTAGAAGATTCCATTATTTGTGTTTATATCGATCCCCCTTCTGATTGTCTGTCACTGTAGATTTTGTCTCTTCTTCCCATAAACCTTTCTAGAATACCATGCTGGCCACACACATGGCAACCTTTGGCCAATATCATCTACTTTTAAGCAACTATCAATCACAAAAAAATAATCAAATTGATCAAGGATACTTAATATCACTTCAGGATGTTTGTACAAACTGTTAGTTATTTTTTTTATTATTATTATTATACAGGATTTATTTAGCGCCAACAGTTTGCTCAGCGCTTTACAATATAACGGGAGATGATACAGCAACAATACAGTTCAATACAAGAGGGATAGGAAGGCCCTGGTCCTTGGAGCTTACAATCTAGGAGGGAGGGGCCAGTGGTACAAAATTATTATAGTAGGTTGCAGTCACTGGCTGTGCCATTTTTGCAATTAAACGTTGGTTGAAAGTGCCTGAAATTTGTCAGCATAGATTTCTGTTGACCTACAGCCATCAGATTAACATGAAGGTTCAGGCTCTGCTTATACAAACTTTTTCTTTGCAATGGAACTGCATGAACTAGAAGGAAGGCAGAAGCAACTATGAATGATCTCAGAAATGTCTCAAACTGATCTCAAATGCTGTGGGGGGGGGGGGGGGGATGTCCTCTTTTTTTTGTGGGACTTTAACGGCACAATTTACTTGTATGATAAATTTCAATTCAAAAGAGATTTTTTATAAAAACAGTATGAAATTTTATTTTTACAATCTTCAAAAATAAATAAGCTACAATACATATTGCGGCGGTGTCATCAGAGATGGTATTGCAAATCTAATCATGGATCATGCATGGTTCGCACTTGGCGCGTTTCCAGATCAACTAAAATCTCTTGTTCAGAAGTGCTCAAGAAGGCATGACGTATGATTCCATGTGAGGTAAAAACCGCCAGGAAATATTAAAAACAAATTGTTATGTGAACACAGCCACAGATTTCTCATATATCTCGGGAAAAAAGGATGAAACAAAAATTAATAAAGAAAAAACTGAGACCAGTGGATGGAAAATACCGCCCAAACACCTCCTGAAGGGGCCCCGCCCCAAATGCACCCTCAACAAGATTACCTGCTGGTTGGTACTGATAGGGCTGTGTATGAGTGTGAAGCGATGACCACAAGGAATTTGCGTGAGAAAGTATTGATGACCTGATAAAAATCAGGATTGACATGTGAAAGACCGCCCAATATGGGGCAATATACCAGGTCTATCCCAAGAAGCATGCAAAGCTAAGTGCACATGAAGGCAATTTTTCCCTTTTGGCACTTGCCAGTAATATCATACATCTAAAAACCTGGTACCCAACTTTTGCACTTGTGTGGCTATTGGGGTTCCAGCAGACAGTAGTCTTACTTAGATACTTAGACCGGTGAAGGAAAAGTATTCTTTAGACTGTTTTCTACCAGTTACGTGACTTGGTTTATTTATTTATTTTTTTACATTGTCTTCTTTCTCTTTTCATGGTTTTATGGGTCTTGCTGAGAGTTATGCCAAATGTGCCAAAAGTAATTTTTGGGGACTGTTGGGAGTACAGATGTAGAAGCACTGATTTATAATGGAGTTGAAATAGCAGTGATCTCTAGTAAGTATAATACCCTCCTAGCTAGATTGCTAACATTTTTTGACAAATGTAGCTTTTGGTTTCCCTTTTGCTGTTCTGTGTTCTGCTGGTTGCAGGCTCTGCTGCATTCCCCTGGATTCTGGCAGGTTCAAGAATTTAGTGGGTGGAGGAGGCAAATCCTCACCTGCATATTCAAGCAGCCTGTAGAAGAGACCCAGCTTGAGGGCTGTGCCCTTTGGGCACCTAGTTGAATATTAGAGGAGGCCATCTTGGTTCTAGCTCCAGTTAGAGCTAGGGGAGCCACGTCCAGAGCTCCTGAATGCAGTTGAAGGAAGTCCACAGAGGATCTGATCTGGAGACACAAAGTACAGAAGCTGTCTGGTATAGCAGGAAAGCATTCAAGTACCCAAGGCCGAGTGAATACAAGCCTAGAGATCCCAGAGATTGACCTTGCTACCTTTTTTGAGAGCTCACTCCAGTTGCTGACTCAGGGTTTACCTTTGCAAAGGGGTTGCCTAAGTTGTAGTTCACTATGCATTGAATTCAAGAGGGTGGTTGCATCCTGAAGAGGCAGCTCAGTTAGAAGTGTCCCTCATTATCTCTCTATTAGTTTGGGGTATCCCAAGGATCATCTGCACCCCATCCAAGTTTTGTCAGCAAATAAACTGCAAAAAGACATGCATGGCCTGTTTTTTCTGACTTGAGTGACTGTGAACTACTGTGTGCCTGGCTGCCACACGTCTTACAGGTAATGGAACCTGCGATATTACAGCCAGCCCAGTTCTGGGTCTGTGCTACACAGGGAAAAGCTTGGGTTCATTTGGATCCTAGTCCAAACCCACCTGAGCGATTCATGCAGGGAGCTGTCGCTGTACTTTGCCAGTTATACAGTAGTTGGCCGGTGCAATCCTCGCCCCACAGGGTTGGGGATGCCTCTGCTGCTTATGAATGGCACATTACAGATGATAACTTGCTGGTATGATTGCTCAGGTGGGTTCAGTATAGGATCCAAACACGCCTGAGCTCATCCCTGATTTCTGTCAGTCTCATGTAACGTGTCTCCAGTCTCCAACAACTCTTCTAGCATGTTTTCGGTCTCTGATAGCTTTCTGTAGCATTACATTCACTGAATATTATGTGTGGCCCTTTGGTGATGTTTTGTGGCCTTCTATATCAAGTCAGTTGATTACCACTGCATCTAAAATTACTAAATCATTGAAAAAAAAACCCAGAATTGATTGTTGTCCTCTTGAAGATATGCTTGGTGTAGCTCTCAATATCTTTGGGAAGGAAGCAGTACAGATTAAGTGTGAAGTTTCAGTAGCAGTAATTAAAATATCTCCCCTCCATCCATGCAACATCCGCAAACTTCCTCGCCAGAGCCAACATTATCTCCCTGGCTTCTTCCAGGTTCAGAGTGTTTAGCCATCTTGAATGGCCAGACTAAGATGATGTAACCCATGAGTATGCGCATGTACGTTCACTCTTCCCAGCACCGAGATTGCTAAGAATGTACACTGAGATGTGCCTGTGAGGTGGAAAGGTAAGAAACCTTTATTGCAGAAAAAACATAGCATTTCCGCAATAAAAATCCTTCCTGCTCACAAAGTCTTGGGGTTCATTTGGGTGTTAAGTCTTAGGACATGGCTTAGGAGATGTTAAGTGTTAGGGTCAGTGTAAAGTCATGGTTGGGGGTAAGAGGGACTTTATTTTTCATTTTGTTTTGGAAATTCCATACTGAGAATTGTCTGGCATTGGTTTCATTATAATGAGAACCAATATACTGGGGGTTGGTGACCAAGCAATAGGGA